CAAAGTTATGTGAAAGTGGTCTCTCTCTCTCTCTCTGAATACCATAATATTTTTGGACTGCAGTTGACTATGGATAACTGAAATCGTGGATAAGAGGGAGACTGCATGCTAAGAAACTAGAATTGAAGAACTGACTGTATACCTGCTTTTCGATAGGTCATCTATGTCTGGTTGAATTCTAGAAACAGAAAAAAATGGTCATTGTAACAATACATGTTGGCATTTATGGTCCAGCAAATAAACAAGCATTGGCTGTCTATTTCATCTAGCATCCTTCATTGGAAAAGCTTATATTTCGGCCAGGCACGGTGATCCCGGAACTTTGGGAGGCTGAGGCGGGAGGATTGCTTGAAGCCTGAAGTTCAAGACTAGCATGGGCAACATAATGAGAACTCGCATTCAAAAAAGTGATAATAATAATAATTAAATAAATTTTTTTTTTAAAAGAAAGAAAAAATGTAACTGGGCATGGTGGCCCATGTCTGTAGTCCCAGCTACTCCAGAGGCCCTGGAGGTCAAGGCTGCCGTGAGCCATGATCGTGCCACTGCATTTCAGCCTGAGTGATGGAGTGAGACCTTGACTCAACAAAACAAAACAAAAAAAGACCCTTACATTCCTATAATAATCTGATGTACATCATTTAATTAGATTTACATTTGGTAATTCTTTGTGTAATTTTTCCTCTCCTCACAGACTTATTTAGATATTTAACAAGTTATCCTGAACCAATTTGGAAACCTAATGATGAATTTGAATGATTTGTTTTATTGCTTTTGTTTTGTATAACTCACATTTACTTTAATGTTTAATATTAGAAGAGTTGTGGTCCTTATTTAGAAGCTTGGTAATATTTTTTGTGACCAGAAATATGCCATAGGAACTTCACTCTTGTTCTCAATTAGCCTATGGCAAAATTGATTTCATTATACATCATTTCGCTTAAAGTTGCAGTTTCCTGGCTGGGCTTGGTGGCTCAGGCTGTAATCCCAGTACTTTGGGAGGCAGAGGCGAGTGGATTGTCTGAGCCCACGGGTTCGAGACCCACCCGGGCAACTTGGCAAGACCTCATCTCTACAATAAATCAAAAATTAGCTGGGCGTGGTAGCGTGCGCCTGTAGTTCCGGCGACTTGCAAGGCTGAGGCAGAAGGATCGCCAGAGCCCAGCAGGTCGAGGCTGCAGTGGCCAGGAGCAGCCACGGCACTCCAGTCTGGGCGACGGAGTGATGCCAACTCAAAAAAAAAAGTTGCAGTTTCCTGGATGATTTGCTGGATAAATTTTTATTCTCTGCTACCTCTTTTCTCTCTCAGTCTCTTCTTAGTGTCATTGGATCTATATTTTAGGCTCTTTTTTCTTCATCCATTGTTTAAAACGACTTAATTAAGTCTCCTTATGGAAACTCCTACAGAGAGACACACATCCTCATTATGTGAAAACATCTTATGAAATACATGCAACTAAGTAGCAGTCATTAGTCATTGCCTTATTTTAACATGTTTTAATGTTGCTAGTCACTTGAGAAAAGTTCCTTCTTTATTTCCTTCTCTTTATTAGTTTGCCCTGTGAAACCAACAGACAATATGCATGACTGAGAAATGCGAAAGTAGTACTGGGGATACATTTGTGAGAAAGAAAAGTTTTTTTGTTATTGTTTTTTGAGTTGGAGTCTCACTCCGTCGCTTAGACTGGAGTGCAGTGGCATGTTCCTGGCCACCGCAGCCTCCACCTGCTGGGCTCCGGCGATCCTTCCGCCTCAGCCTTCCAAGTAGCCAGAACTACAGGTGCGTCCTACCACGCCCGGCTGATTTTTGATTTATTGTGGAGATGAGGTCTCGCCAAGTTGCCCAGGCGGGTCTTGAACCCGCGGGCTCAGGCAATCCACTCACCTCGGCCTCCCAAAGTGCTGGGATTACAGGCTGAGCCACCGAGCCCGGCCAGAAAGAAAAGTTTTAAAGAAATCACATTTCGCATCATCGTCAGTTCCATCAACTTGAAAGAGCCTGGAAGTCCCCTTTAGAATCCTCATAGTGCGAGGACAGTGTGATAGAAAGGTAAGTTAGTTTGGGATCCTACTGGGGAGAGGCTTAAGCATCCCTGGTGCCAAACAGGATTCATGGAAGTTGTTTTGAGTATGGGAGAGATAAGGAAAGCATTATTTTAGTAAAATTAATTTGATGTCATTATGTCCAGTGGATTTGAGTGGAGAAATGTGTGAATATAAATTAAGAAGAAACTGTGATAGTTCAAGCTTTAAGGAAAGGGCTAAACTAAGGTGTCTATCATGGGCATAGGAAGGAAGGTCACTGCAAGACCTTCTTGGAAAGGGTCCTTGAACGTGCTGATGGAATTGGAGGTGGGGATTGTGGCAAGGGGGAACCCAAAGTGACTCTCAGTTTCTAGAGTATGGAATCTGGGATCGATTCAGTGCCACTGGCATTGACAGTGGGCATGGTGATAATGTTGGTTTTATTTTTTATTTTTTAAGTCGGAGTCTCACTCTGTTGTCCAGGCTAGAGTGCAGTGGCACACTCACGGCCATCGCAGCCTCAACCAGCTGGGCTCAGGCGATCCTTCCGCCTCAGCCTTCCAAGTAGCTGGAACCACAGGCCTACGCCACCATGACCAGCTAATTTTTTGCTCTTTCGTGGAGATGAGATCTCGCCAAGTTGCCCAGGCTGGTCTCGAACCCCTGGACTCGGGCAGTCTCCCAAAGTGCTGGGATTGCAGGCATGAGCCACTGAGCCCGACCATGTTAGTTTTAAATACGCTGAGTCTGGAGCTGTATAAGATACTCAAGTGGATGGAATTTAGTAATCAAATCTCAATATGAAATTTTGAAAATTCTCCAATAGAGGCTGGAAATATAATTCAATTTGAATCAGTTAAATAAGCCAACAAACACTTGTGTGCCTTCCATAAAAGTATGTGGTATTTTGAGCAAATGTGTATAGTGAGAAAAGAGTTGAGGATTTAACTTTGGAACTCTAGGTAATTCTCAGTTAGAGGATAGAACAGAACAGAGAGCCAATAAGAAAGAATGCATAGGTCTGGCGCGGTGGCTCAAGCCTGTAATCCCAGCACTTTGGGAGGCCGAAGCGAGAGGATTGCCTGAGCTCACAGGTTCAAGACCAGCCTGGACAACTTGGCAAGACTTCATCTCTACAATAAATTTAAAAATTAGCTGGGCGTGGTGGTGCATGCCTGTTGTTCCAGCTACCTGGAAGGCTGAGGTGGAAGGACCGCCGGAGCCCAGGCTGCGGTGGCCGTGAGTGTGCCACTGCACTCCGGCCTGGACGACAGAGTGAGACTCCGACTCGAAAAGGAAAAAGAAAAAAGAAGAAAGAAAGGGTGTGTGTGGGAAGAAGAAGGCAGAGAAGAAAGAGAACCAAAAAGATGTAGACTAATAAGGGGCAAGGGAAGAGGAAGTTTCAAGAAGGAAGCTAAAGAGAAAGAAAGCTGAGTAGATGCTGAGGGATCTAGCCCACAGGAAGTAATTAATGCTCCTCATATGACCATTTGCCATTCAATGGGGAAGAAAATAATGAGTGTTATTTTCTTTAGTTTAATTCAACAAATATTTTCTTTGCGTATCATAGACGTCATCTTTTGCAAATTGGGTAAGGATTCACAAAAGTCAGCTCTGGTAGATGTGGTTTCTTTGAATGATAATGAAAAGAAACATTTTGGGACGGGATTTATTCCTAAGAAGAAGCCAAAGAAGAATGATCATTTCCTCTGATCTGAAGTTTTGATCTATAGTGTAGTATGGAACGTGGGAATAATTTTAAGAAGATGCTTCACTGTCTTATAGAATCTAGTGCAACTAGATTCAGCTGGCCCCTGCCTGACCCAGTCGTATTCTACCAATAGAATATGATGCTATTTGAGGATTATTACTTGGTGGAGGGGTGGGTTTGAAGTTTGGGTCTTATAATAAAATGACTGTTTTTAAGGCCAGGTGTGGTGGCTCACACCTATAGTCTTAGCTCTTTGGGAGGTTGAGGTGGGAGGATTGCTTGAAGCCAGGAGCTCAAGACCAGCCTGGGCAACATAGTGAGACCTTGTTTCTACAAAAAATTTTTAAAAATTAGCCTAGTGTGCTGGCACTGCCTGTAGTTCCAAGCTACTCGAGAGGCTGAGGCAAGAGGATGGCTTGAGCCCCTAAGTTTGAGGCTGCAGTGAGCTGTGATAGTGCCAATGCATTTCAGCCTGGGTGACAGAGCGAGAACTTGTATAAAAAAAAATAAGTAAATAGAGGGCTGGGCTCGGTGGCTCAGCCTGTAATGCCAGAGCTTTGGGAGGTCGAGGCAAGTGGATTGCCTGAGCCTGCGGGTTTGAGACCTCACCTCTACAAAAAATCCAAAATTAGCCAGGCTTGGTAGTGCGTGCCTGTAGTTCTGGTTACTTGGAAGGCTGAGGTGGAAGGATCGTAGGAGCCCAGCAGGTCGACGCTGGGGTGGCCGTGAGTGTGTCACTGCACTGCAGCCTAGACCACGACGTGAGACTCCAACTCAAAAAAGAAGTGACTGCTTTTGGGACTGAAATCTTTGAGATTTTGCAAGATATAAAGAGCTTGTATTTAGCTTAAGCTTCATTTCTACTTAGGAAAAAAAGTGATCCAAAGTTTTTAAAAAAATGAATAGAATTTAACTTTTCTGTTGACCCGTTAGCTAAATACCTGCTATAAAGAAAGTTAAACACTTACTATCTGCCCATTGGGTGGAGCATATAGCTTGCTTTCAGGGGATGTTTGGTTTTTAAAATATTCACTAGTCTCGCCCCCAGGTTGTAGCTGTTTGTGGCTCTGCTGCTGTCAGCTGCATGATCTTTTCACTTCTCCAAATGTCACAGAACTCTCCATCCTTAGGCTCCGCAGCTCTGTCATGCATGGGCTCAGCCCCCAAGGACGCACTCGGGTTGGGCGATGGAGAAGGACTGCTCTCTAAAGATAGTTTCTTAACTCCTTTCTCTAAAAGGATTATTCTTGGAATTTTATTGCAGAAGCTGAAAAAACAGTCTACCAAGTACAGGGCAGACAAAACCTACCCTACAACTGTGGCTGAGAGGCCCAAGAATATCAAGAAAAACAGATACAAGGATATTTTACCCTGTAAGTTCGACCTCTTCCTGTAAACTCATACCTTCTCCCAAATTCAATCGTTGCTATGTCTTTTCCCCCATTTGCTTGTTGATCCTAATCTTGGAACATGGCCTTAACAAATTAGGTTTGTGCTTTTTTGGTTTGTTTTTGTTTTTGGATTTGGGGTCTCACTCTGTCACCCAGGCTAGAGTGCAGTGGCATCATCATGGCTACAGCAGCCTCGACCTGCTGGGCTCAGGCGATCCTTCCGCCTCAGCCTTCCAAGTAGCCGGAATTACAGGCATGCGCTACCATTTGACTTATTGTAGAGATGAGGTCTCGCTGCCCAGGCAGGTCTTGAACCCGTGGGCTCAGGCAATCCACTCACCTCAGCCTCCCAAAAGCACGGGATTACAGGCTGAGCCACTGAACCTGGCTTTCTTTTTTAATTTAATTTTAATTTTTTTAGTTGGAGGTTCACTCTGTCGCCCAGGCTGGAGTGCAGTGGCACGCTTCCGGCCACCGCAGCCTCAACCTGCTGGGCACAGGTGATTCTTCCTCCTCAGCCTTCCAAGTAGCTGGAACTACAGATGCGTGCCACCACACCCAACTAGTTTTTTGATTTATTGTAGAGATGAAGTCTTGCCAAGTTGCCCAGGCTGGTCTTGAACCTGTGGGCTCAGGCAATCCTCTCACCTCAGCCCCCCAAATTGCTGGGATTATAGGCGTGCGCCACCACATCAGGCCTAAGCTGTCTTAATTACACTGTCTTTCTTTTATATGGTAGATGATTACAGCCGGGTAGAGCTATCCCTGATAACCTCCGATGAGGATTCTAGCTACATCAATGCCAACTTCATTAAGGTATGCTGAAAGGAAATAAAAGCACTCCATGTTTCTCTAGGTACCCATAAAAAGGGGAGGGGAGGACTAGCTGGGAAGAAGATGGTATTATTTGTAGTTACCCCGTGTCATTTCGTTTCCTCTTTAGGGAGTTTATGGACCCAAAGCTTATATTGCCACCCAGGGTCCTTTATCTATAACTCTCCTGGACTTCTGGAGGATGATTTGGGAATACAGCGTCCTGGTAAGTGCAGAATTACTTTTGTTACCTTGTTTTCTAGTTCTTAAGGATAGAGGAGATCGGGTGTCAGGATGTGTGACTGAAGTTTCCTTTCTATTAAAACCAGTGTTTTGGCCAGGCGTGGTGGCTCAAGCCTGTAATCCCAGCAATTTGGGAGGCCTAGGTGAGGGGATCGCCTTAGCTCGTGGGCTTGAGAACAGCCTGGGCCACTTGGTGAGACTCATCTCTGCAGTAAATCAAGAAATTAGCTGGGCGTGGTAGCACGCGCCTGTGGTTCTGTCTACTTGGAAGGCTGAGGTGGAAGGATTGCCTGAGCCCAGCAGGTTGACGCTGGGGTGGCCATGATCTTGCCATTGCACTCCAGCCTGGGCAGCCGAGTGAGACTCCAACACAAATAAATAAAAAAATAAGTATGTAAATACATACATACATGCAAACAGTGTTTTAGGCCCAGTGCCTGTAATTCCAGCACTTTGGGAGGCCGAGGAGGAAGATGACTTGAGACTGGGAGTTCAAGACCTGCCTGGGCAACACAGTACAAAAATTAGCTGAGTGTGGTGGCACAAGCCTATAGTCCCAGCTACTCGGGGGGCTGAGGCAGAAGGATCACCTGAGCACAGGGGGTTGAGGCCGTAGTGAGCTGTGATCATGCCGCTGTACTCCAACCTGGGCGACAGAGTGAGACTTCAACTAACAAAACAAAACAAAACAGTATTTTTAATTGGTCAGTGAAATTTCAGAGTGCAGACATCTACTAGTCAAAATCACAATGTCATTCTTGTTTAAGGAAATGAAAGTTCCCACCTTGACAGGCTCATCTGGTAACAAGAATTTACTGATTTGACTAGGGAGAGGGGAAGTGGGGGCAGAAAGAAGGAAGAGTAAGAGCAACATTTCATGTTGTCAGAATTTCTTTTTTGGTTAAAAAACAGACAAAACAAAACAGAAACAGAATGACTGACACTTTTGGGCTCTGGGACGCATGCACTAACTGCTCTTTGTACTTAAATAAATGTTTACATTTTTATCTATTTCCTCCTCTCAGATCATTGTCATGGCGTGCATGGAGTTTGAAATGGGAAAGGTGAGTTACTTTCTAGAATCCCCTGACGTAAAGGTAAAGAAAAAGGAGGGGAAATCGACAGCAGAAGTTTCCTTACGTGTGCCTAGGTAAAACATGTCCTAGTCCTAGTGTCCAGTTTGGAAATGCCACATAACTTTCAGGATTTGGTCAGTTGGTTTACCCCTAAGAACCTCTTTTATCCATTGTTCCCAGTAGACTCTATGTTGTAAAGTAAAAACAAGGTGTGCTTTTTAAAATAACACCTCACTTTCCAATTTCTTTTCATTGGCCATCTTTAACTGCTAGTCAGAGCTTCTTACCCTGTGCTGGCCAACATGGCATCCACTAGCCACATCTAGCTACTGAGCACTTAAAACACACCTAGTGTGACTGAGGAACTCAATTATTTTATTTTAATTTATTTAACTTTTTTCACTTCTTTCCTTTTTCCTTTTTTTTGAGTCAGGGTCTCACTCTCTTGCCCAGGCTGAAGTGCAGCGGCAATATCTCGGCTCAGTGCTGTCTCAAACTCCTGGGCTCAAGCTATCCTTTTTCCTCAGCCTCCTGAATAGCTGGTACTACAGGTGTCTGCCACCACACCCAGCTTTTTTTTTTTTTTTTTGTAGAGACGGGGTCTTACTATGTTGCCCAGGCTGGTCTCAAAGTCCTGAGCTAATTTACTTAATTTAAAAGTTGATTATTGGGAAACTATTATTGGGAAACTTTAAGTATGTTTAGAACAATGTGGGTATGTGAAATATTTTACAATGTAAGCTTTATGAAATCTAAATGGAAATAGCATATTTCCAACGAAAATGTGACATGCTAATTAAAGTTAACTATAAATATAAAATAGCCACTGCATTTTGAAGACTTAATTTTAAAATGTCAAATATCTAGTGACTACTTTATATTGATTACCTGTTGAATTTTTTTTAATATATTAGGCTAGGATATATTATTAAAATTAATTTCACCTCTTTTCATTTTTGAATGTGGCTATTAGAAAATTTAAAGTTAGCTGGGTTCGGTGGCTCAGCCTGTAATCCCGCGCTTTGGGAGGCTGAGGTGAGTGGATTGCCTGAGCCCGCGGGTTCGAGACCTGGCTGGGCAACTTGGTGATCCCTCATCTCTACAATAAATCAAAAAATTAGCCAGGTGTGGTAGCGCGCGCCTGTAGTTCCAGCTACCTGGAAGGCTGAGGTGGAAGGATTGCCGGAGCCCAGCAGG